TGACATTGTCCTTCTCATGTTTTCGCCGACTGGAAAACCTTCGTTGTGCAGTGGCAAACGCAGGTATGTATCTACAACTGTACATTCATTCTAATGTAGTAACAAATTAAAGAATTTATAGCCTGTTTAGAGGATAGTATGTAACGACGCGTGCAAGGTTTTTGTGTTTGCGTTTGAAAACGATTCAGGTTTATCAGATTAAGCTTTTTAGTTAATCGAAGCAGTTGATTTGGGGGATATGTTTCATGTGTAAGGCATCTTAATTCATTAGTAAAGAATTAGCAAGGAACGTATAATTCTTTAGATCACGTGACCTACCCTAATGTTTTAATTGTTTTCTGTTAATTCTGAACAAATCTGATTGCTCTATTCTTAAATGGAGGTTAGTATCTTTGGCATATTGGTAACGAGGGCTGTATGACGATGATGCAGTTGCATTTATTAAATCATGTGTCTATTAACTTTTGTTTTGTGTGTATCCGTCTGTAAGAATATAACCTTTCGCTGGGAATCAATCACCATTGTCATCAGTAACTTGGCCTTTTCTGTTTTCTTGTTGAGTTTAGTAGCATCGAAGAGGTTATAGCAAAGTTTGCTCAACTTACTCCACAGGAAAGAGCTAAAAGGTAATTTCTTCTCTGAAAGAAACAATCATGTATCTGGATTAATTTTCAAAGTATCCTATCGAAATTTAATTTCTTTGGATGCTAACAGGAAATTGGAAAGCCTCGAAGTAAGTCCCCTTTGATAACCTTGTATTTATTAATTAATGATGTTATTCTTCTCTTCTTCTTTTTTTCTTTTCGGATATAACCTAGATACTACTACTGCTGTCTCTTACTTAATTTTCTGTTTTCTTGTTGAAAGTGTAGGCACTGAAGAAAACATTCAAGAAGTTGGATCATGATGTTAATATACAAGAATTTTTGGGTACAAGGTACACAAGCTAACACACGGGGTTAAAATTTTGTCAGAAATCATGGGATTACAATTGATATGTTTTTCTCTTCTTTTTGTTTCAGTTCTCAAACGATTGAGGTAAGAATGCAAACCCATGTTTCCAGTGTGATATTTCACCATTCGAGTCTCTTGGTCTTTAACTTTTCATTCTTGCATGCTTTTTATATTCCTCTCTCTCTCTCTCTCTCTCTCTCTCTTTTCGACAGGACCTGAGTAACCAGTCTAGCTTATTGCAAACCCAACTTTCAGAAATAAAAAAGAGACTAAGGTGAATACCTGAAAATTTAGGTTGGAGAGTACATTTCATTAATTTATGTTCCAGTGAAATTTTACTATGGTCTATGCCCCCCTAAACAAATGCTTTACCAATCTTGAATTCTGCAGCTGCTGGACTAGCCTTGATAAGATCAACAGTGTAGAACAGTTGGGGCAAATGGAAGGTTCACTTAGAGAGTCGCTTAACCAGATTCGAACACATAAGGTATCCTCTGCATCCAAGTGAACTCATTGTCTGGTTCAAAATTTTAAATTTTTTTAAATTATCTGATTATTGTAATTGGCCTAGCTCTCCAATATTATATGCTACTGAAATGATACCACTGATAATTGGAAGTTGCGGAAACGATGTACTGCCTTAGACTGTAGCAATTTAGAATTTGATTACTTATTAATTTGGGAATGATGTGAATACTAGTATGACATCATTGGAGTTCTAGCAAGAAAGCGTTGACAATTACATACAAATGAGGAGTGTATAATTTTCTGAGTATCCTTTCTCTGTAGTTTTCAAGTGACCTTGTGCTACCTTTAGTTCTGATGCTGCTGCACCTCTTGATACTAATGCAATCCAATTTTCCATTGGCAGGAAAATTTACAAAAGCAGCAAATTATGTCGTTAGAATGCACTAGTCAGGTAAAGCATTGCTTCTTTTCTTTTACGAGAAACTTTTTTAAGGTGTTATTTACTTACTGATATTGGCAAACATAATATCTTTATGGTTCTCATCTTGCAGTTCCAAAATGGGTTGCATATACCCTTCAGCATGAATACTGAGCAACAGCTCCAACCTTTGTCATGGATTCCGACTAATGAAAGCCGACATATGGATTTACCTGAGGACACGACCTTGCTTCCACATAGGTGGGTGATTGTTCAGAAGTACATACTAGCTCTCCTAGGAATTTTTGTTGTGTAAGATGAAAATATAGTTGAAAAGAAAAGCAACATGTTATATGATGAGATGAAGTTCTTTATAACACAGAACATTAAATGGCTCCTTCATCTATTTCTTTGTCAATTAAAAAAAACTGTGAAATTCATCTAATGGTGGATTGCTTTATCTTAGAAGTGTTACTGGAAGAATTTCTTGATAGGGACATGGAATGCTCAGCAAGTTCCTCCTTTGGGAGTTACTCTGGTTACCTTGGCACAGGAAAAAATCCAGAGATTTCAACTTCTGAACAAGAAAATGGTATTCTTAATGACTTGAGCAGAACCGCACCACTGAGGCTACAGCTGGGTGGGCAATTTCCCTATCTTCCGTACAATCTTAATATGATGACTGATACGAAATTCCAACCACCGGCAGAAATGAGTCCTCAAGAAAACCCTGTTGAGTATCATGTTAATGGAAGCTTTGAAGCTCCTAGACCTGAGTTTTACCCTACTCAGCATAGTTGGGCTTCTACATCTGGTCCTTGTGCGGTTACCATGTTTGACGAGCATTTATTTTCCCAGGTCAGTTTTTCTTCCCGGATCTTCTCAATAAATTTTTCTTGCTTGTTACTAGCATGGCTTCCTTTGCTGTATATGGCTGAAATAGCAAATTACCTCGCATGGAAACTAGACATTGCTTTATGTAATATTGCTTTTTCCATGTATATTATACTGTAATGTGATTGTCCTTTCAGCTACAATGTAATTCAATTTATTTTTCTTCGGAGATAAAATGCAAAGTCACTTGTTTTCCTCCCCATTGCGTTAAACCTGGCATATTCTACCTTATAAAGCATTTCTGTATTCCGTTGACAAACTGAAGTACATTCGGCGGTTTACTTCTCCGTATTGCACTTCTCTGTATTATATTGAAACCATCTCTTTTGCTTGATGCAGCAGACAAACTGAAGTCCATGGGTGATTTTGTCATTCATCCACCGATGGGGAGTTGCTGGAGAAATCTGCTCGAATGCTTGAAAAACCTACTCATCCATCAAGGTTTTCGCGGTCATTATATTTTTTTTTGTCGTGGTAATATTGAAGGCAACCACCGAGTGTACAGCGCAGGTTCAACACATAAACGGCCCTATCAGTCATTAGTACCCTTGCGAGAAGGAACGACGGTGCTGATGCCCAAACAATGAAGCACCAAACCTCCAACGAGAGATCTTTTATACGTTCATTATATATAGAAATATAGGTGTCCTGTTGAGTGTTTTTTTTGCTCCCTCCTCACCCCCATGTCTTGGCTGTCAAGTTTTCCAGAGGCAGTTTAGGACATTGCCTTCCGTTGCTTCCCCTCATTAATCTGAGCTGTAAATAAAAGTACATATAACAATATACAAAAAACATAACATATTGGAAAAAAAATTTAAATTCCATTTTTTGTGTGTGTAAATTATTGTCTACTATTTCTTGTTGCTGTCTTAGACACTGGAAAACATCAGTTGGAACCACAAGGCAACTATCTGCAGAATAAGGTCCTACACGTACAAAAGGCCATGCTAAATCTTCTCTTCTTCCTTCGTGCCAATTTTACAGGGGTCCCCGGAGGGACATGGTTTCGGTTTACACTTTTTATTTTAAAGCGTGAAAAATATAAACTAGAAATTAAAATTTAGAATCCAAAAATACACATTGACTGCTATCATTGCATGTGGGTTTCGCGTATATTAGTAAGTGTATTAGTTTCGTACGGGAATGTTTTAATGATATAAAAGTGTACGAGTACTGTTCAATACACATGAACCGCTTCAATTCCATGTTGCTATCTGTCGACGATACACACTGCAAAACATTCAACTGGAACCATATAAAAAAAAGTTTTGGTTATGTGAAGTTTCCTGCATAGGTTTTCTCTGCGGCAAGTCTTTTGTTGCTAACTGGTATGAATCTTTGAGGCAATCTATGTTGAAAGGGACATGGAAAGCAAAGGGACAATGAACGAGACATTGAAAATTTTAAGATGAAATGTCTTTACACAAGATTTTTTACTCCAATTCATGTAACGTTGTACAACACCAACCAAATATTCAGCCCCACCACTTAAAATTTCTGGTCACAGATTTATTGTATTTGCCTTGTGAAAATAGCAAGATTTACTGTGGTTAATCTCTTGCCTTGTGAAATAACTTTTGTTTATTGTTTCTTGTTTTGGAGGGCTGTACTATAAAGGACGAAGAAAAGTACCTTAGTAGGGCAGCCTGACCGTGTGATTGATCATGTCACACTCACAAAGGAACATGCCCTTTTACGTTAGGGTACCATCCGCCTCACGTAGTTACAAATTCTTAGTGAATGATAATCTTACTCCGTGTGAGTGGCTAACCAGCTAGTGAGCTACGTAATCATGCCTTCCTACTAGATTTCCTCTCTAAATATCATGAAGTTATGTCTTCTGTTGGCCCTTTTGGTTTAGGCTGTTTGGTTGGGTTAGATTCACTATTTGCTACCCATGTTGATTATAGATAGCGGGCCCGTACCCATAGATTCATGGTTTTTCTCTCGTTTCCGTAGTTTGAATTGAGTGCTACGAGCACCACTCTATTCAACTGGTGTAACTCATGTTTTTACGCACAAAAAAATTGGGGCTCTTGGTTTGTGTGAAAGAAAAATTAGAATTTTTTGTTTTTATGAAGTGCGTCAACGGGATGAGTTAATATAGACGGTCAAATTTAAGTTTTAGTGGTTTGAATTGATTAATCTTTAGGCTCCGAACAGTCCGGATTTGATCTCTTTCCAAATTATTATATTGAAACAAGCATAAATTAGATAAAAAATAATTAATTGTTTGTTAAAGGAGAAATAAATGAGAAGCAAGAAATAATAAATTAGCAAATCCATTACTTAGTAGAAAATGGAAAATTTACATTTGGTCTTCAATATTCAAATATAACAACCAAGGACAATACTGAATTGCTGATCAGCCTCGGTTGATTTACAACAATGCCCCTCCAAAGCAAGCCCAGGATGCGAATGGCGGGTGGTCAAGTCCACAACCTCCGCCAACTTCCGCTTTTACAATTACCGCAGAAGTAAAAACAATACAATACCCAAGAAGGAGTTAGGGTTCCCAAAGATGGTAGGGTACCCTACACCTAAGACACATATTAACTTAAAAATTAAAATTTGATGGGAGAGAGCCCTTTTAAAATAAGCCCTACTCACTTTTGACCGCAGAGGCCAACGACCTTGACTCAACGACTCAGAATACTAACTAATATCTTAGTATACTTAAGAGTCATACTAATCTTAATTAAGATTTAATACTCAGTATATATATTTAATGACCTAGGAAATGGGTAAGGATAAGAGGGTAAATTAGATGGTTGGGTGGGGGTGACCTAGCGGAATTGGGCACCACTGTAGGTCTGCCCAAAGGACCACCCAGCTGGGGCAGCATTGTAGGACACAACAGTACGGCCGTCACTGGTTGTGACCTTGAAAGAGAGGGCTTGGCCGTTGAGGTAGCTGTTGGATTGCCAGTTTTGCCCCCAGTTTCTGGACATTGCTTGCCAGCCGGTTCTGGACCCCTTGATGGAAACAGAGTGCACATCACCGGCTCCACCAACATTTGTGATGAGGACCAGGTTGAAGTAGGAGTGACCGTTGATTGTGTATCTGATGCCTCCCCTTCTACTGCAGGGTACCCTACAAACCCCCAACAAAATAAAATTAGAAAAGTATTCCAAACTTCTGTTACTCATTAAGGGGAAAAAGAAAAAAAAAAAAAAATCCCCCATCTGTATGCATGTCATTCTCTAAACTAAATGTTAGTTGTGAAATTCCTTTAATGCCCTTTTCATTTAAAAGTCTGGATTTTGTTAAAACCCAAAAAAATTAGCAATTTTCAGAAATAACCCACAAAAACTCTTAACAAAATTAGTGATTTTTGGGGATAAAGTTTGGATCTTTAACTATGAAACGTTGAAATTTCAGTGGGTTTTACCTTCTGTAGGACACAGGCACAACTCCGGCTTTGTATTGGGCAATGTGCTGGAAGACAGGCTGAGAGAGGTCGAAGTGGTGCTGGGGAGGGTTGCACCAGCCGCCGGCATTGTTGGGGAGGGCGTTGTTTGGTGGACAGAAATTGGTGGCGGTGACCACAATGGAGCCCGGCAGGCACCACTTGGGGTCGTTCACACACCTAATCTCGTAGCAAGATCCGCACCCCAGCCCATTGTTGAACAGAGCAGTGCTCAGGGCCGCCGTGTTGGTTCCGTACCCCTGGCTGTAGAGGTTGCCGTACCCACAAGCTCCGCCTTCAGAAACAAAATCCCAAAAACTCACGTAGGTCAGAGAGAGTGCTTAAAATTGATAGCTGGAGGTAAAAATGGAATCTTTTTTAGTTTAGGTGCATACCCATTGTGCCAGAAGCGTCACCGCCGCCGTAGAAAGTGGCGCGAGCGTTAACCCACCCTCCTCCCCCGTAAGCATGTGCAGAGGCCACCAACATTGCAAGAATACCCACCATGAAAAAACCAGATGGAAAAGCCATTTTCCTGCACACATAAGTAAAACCATTCAGCATTTTATGTAACAATGCATCATTTTGTTCGTTATTTCTAACTAAAAAGGGAAATGAGAGAGAGAGAGAGAGGGACAAGATTATTACATTTGGATTGGAAACGAATGAGGTTTGGAAAAAACAGGGGAGAGGAAATGCGAGGAGGCAGATGAGTGAGGAATGTGGGAGGGGTTTGGGGGGATTATATAGAACTTTTGGGGTAAGGGGTAGGGTTAGGAGACTTTACTGTTTAGCCAACATGACCAGTGGGTCACTGATCACTGACAGACTTTTTTTAAATTTTTTAATTTTCTGTTAAGTGTTTGGGAGGGGACCATAAACTGCAAGGGCTAACTGGTTTTGAAATAGTTGAAAACACGACCTTTTGAGGTGGAGGGGCAGTTTTGAAGGACAAAGCGTGTGGTTTTGTGGGGGAAAATTCCCATATGCAAGTGAGAGATGGTGGTTTTTTGGGGGTTTGACAGATGATCATTCCAATAGAATCCATACCCTCACATGCAAGCATAGCCCATTTGCCGCAAATACCCTTTTCCCTCCTTTATGCTTCTCTCTGCTTTTACTTTTCCTCTTCTTTTTTTCATTATTTATAGGGTTCTTTAGATATAAACTCATGCAACACTTATTTTCTTAACAAAAACCCATCTGGTTTTAAACATTCAAATAAAATCCAAATTTAAAATAAATTGCCATGTAAACAAATAAATACCTATTATTTTCAAAATATATACAATTGTGCCACAACACCCTAATTATGTTGATGAATTTAATTACCACCATAATTATAACAAATAAGTGCTTTATTATTACAAAATTATCTACTTTATACTTGTCTTACCATCATCTGTTCCGTTTCTTTTATTTGTTTGACAATCATTGTAGGTAAATTATTTTGCATGTATACGTTAGGCACATTTTGTTGTTATTATATCTGTGTGAAATAAATTACCTATATTTTTAAGTAGAATAAGGGTAATTAATTAACTTGAATCAATTGGCTAAAAACATTATTTTATTTTGTAGGTAAATAATTTGCATGTATTATTACATATACTAGGCACATTTTTGTTATTATTATGTGTTGTTTGCAATCAATCAACATTCATTTATTTTGTAGGTAAATTATTTTTGCAGTATATTAATAAGTTAGGCACATTTGATATTATTATATATATTGTATGCAAATGCTTAAAATATTTTGAATCAAACAATATTTATTATTTATTACGTAGGTAAATTATTTTGCATGTATTATTTTACCTGGAACTTATATTGTTATTTATAATATGTAATATATTGGTAATTTGAATAAAATAACATTTTTATATTTGTAAAAAAAATGCTAATTTACTTGTACAATTATTTGAAAAGGAAAAAAATGCTCATTTTTTACATAAATATGAAACACAACTAATAAGGAAACAAACTCTAATGTCATGTAATTTGTTATTAATATGCATTGAAAATCATGAACACTCAAAATTTTCTTTTCCAAATCTGCATAAACATTTCAAAACGTTTAATTGAATGAAATAATATAAAATAAATGTAGATAACAAGTAATAAACCCAAAGTCAATAATATTAGGGGTAATTTAGACATTCAAAAATACCAATTTTGCCAAGTGATACTTAATTATGGATATTGCTTAGTTGGAGCCTAGTCATTGGGTTTTTATCAGAAAATTTTACAATTGGGGGTTTTAGTTAATGAAAATTGAATTCCAAGGGGTATACTCATATTTTCAGTTATTTATATTATCAATTATTATTCTTTTATCTAAACGATTTTTAAACCAATTTAGTTTCTGAAAATTGAGATTCGAACTTAGGTAGAAATGTGCTAGCAAACCGCCCTAGGTCAACAAATATAATTCACATATAGCTTAATCTGTTATGGAAGAGAAAAGGAGATTCAAATTCAAGCGTAAGAGAGTGAACTGACTGTTATTAGCCGATTAAAAATGAAATAATATAGATTTATTAAGATATATTAATTCACTCCGAAAAGCCCTTACTTACCACAACAACCATTTTAAAACAGCTTAAACAGTTTTGGTGAACTGGGTTTTCTTGCTGCGGACAGAATCTCTCTTACCTAACAGAAAGCTTCCAACTTTATTTAGATTATTGCATAACTGAATGTGCATGAATAAAAATTTGCAGGGCTGATTTTATTTCTACACCACAAGCACAACTTTGCTGCCCCAACCACGAGAGAGAGAGAGAGAGAGAGAGAGAGAGAGAGAGAGAGCGAGAGAGATGTGTTGTGTCTGTGTCCCTCTTGTTTCTCTGCAATGGCACACATTGAGACATACGTCTCACACGGTTAGAGAAGCTTTAATTACACAGCCGTTTATTAGGACTTGGAGCAGGAAAGGAGGAATTCAATTCCCAAATCTTTTCTGGTAAACGAATTGAATGAGCATTTTTGACCCATGAATCCATGAGAATTTCATCCTTCCTCGTTTAATGGCATCTCTTCTCTACAACAAAAAAACAAAAATCACGAGCAATTTACATGAAACAAATTCATTATTATTGTGATGTTTTGACGTAATAAGTGTGACGTTACGTAACTGATGACTTGTTATATATTAAATTACTGTAATCTTCCTTTCGTTTTCATGTGAATAGGTTGAGTTACTAGAGGATGATTCTATCAAATCATAACAGGAAGAAAATCTGAAAAAAAGAAAGCAAAAGGTCCACGCACACATGCAGAAGCACATGGGTGATGACATTTTTAGCGGCTTACGTGTCTTCTAGCTGAACAAGACCTCCATCCAATTAAATTAATTCCCAACTTTTTATTTATTTATTTTCTTTACTTGCTTCCACTTCAAGACTGTACTTTCTTTTGCCTCACAAATGTGATTAACAAATCATACGAATATCATTAGACAAAAGAATTACAAAATAAAAATGTTAATCGCAACTAAGTGAACAAAAATGTGCAGCCATTGGTGAAACCATGGACGGAGGCCGCATATGCCTACTGGGGGCAGTTGTTCCCACTCAACTTTGTTTGTCTTGAAAAATGTACCAATTAAAACTACAAATTAGTTGTATATACTTAGAAATGAAGTCTCATTCCAAACACAACACAACATGCACTCTCACGTCCTATTCTTTTCTTATCCTTAAACCCTTCCAAGTCATGTAAATTTTTTCATTAGCTAATGGTTTACAACTTAACCGTTCTAAACACCAGTTACCCAAAATCATGTTGATGGACAATAATTTAATATATTGTATCAAAATTTTATTTTAATCTCATGGCTCCGTCCAGGATGTACCATTACGGTGGACACAAGCATTCTTTTAGATTGCTTTTTCAATACAACAATATTTAACTTGAAATGGGGCGCGTGGGTAAGCAACAATATGATCTAACCATAACTAGATATTGATAATCATCATCTAATATGAATTAAATCTGAGACCTTATACAAGTAAAAGTGAATACTATAATTGATAATGCCAATGCCTTAATTTAAAAATAAAGGACCTGGATTGTCTGCCCTCTCTCATCTCATACCCTTCTCATCCCCTTCTATTTCTGTGGTCACGGTTAAACCACATCAATATTTTATATTCTCATTGCTTTTTGTTTTATTATTTATATAAAAAAAATCAATATAAAATGTTGACACGACTTAACCGTGACCACAAAAATATGAGGGGATAGGAAGGGTATGAGATGTGAAGAGCAGTCATTCCAGATCCAAAAATAAAAACACACATGGCGGTTGTTGTTTGACCTATGAAATTAACACAAGTGACAAACCTGTGAGCGGCTTCTAACCATGGGTCTGTTATCTTGCTGCAACATTTTCCTCTGATATTTAATTAATGGTGGTTGCTAATCACGTAATCTAAACACAAGATCTTAAATCTTGATTATTATTAATAAGATAAGATTTGCATGGAAAACGATAACGTCTCGAGTACAGCTTGGTTGGCGAAATATTAATAAGACCGTGATTATCGGCATTAGTGTTTTAATCATCTTAACTAGTGTCCAAATTACGGAGTAGAAAATTGAGGTCTTGTACGTAATTCATGGTAGCAGCAGTAACTATGTTCATTGACTTCAAAAGTTTTATTTTTTACACGCTATCTCTCCTGTGGTACGGCTTCATTGTCATGTGTACCGTTCACAAAAACAAAAGAAAATTGGCAATTTGAGGCAAGTTTAATCGTAATTGAGATGAGTTTTAATGGAGGATGGATGTTTCCAGTTCGATTCGCACGGATGAGAACATGCAAATTTCAGTTGTTTGACATATATGTATTAGGTGTGTCGATGATAGTATTCCCACGTCGGTGAGGAACCAAAAAAATACAAGTGCTTATAAGATGTTGAGCTACTTTTCATATTATCATTGGTTTTATAATGAAATCTCAACTTCTTTATGGTATCAGAACAGGTTGGCTCACGTGAGAAGCTCAACGGTCACACAGATTCCACGATACGCAATTTGTATTGTTCACGTGTTATGTTTGAAAATTTGCCACACGTGAGAGAGGTGTGTGAGAATGTGAGGATAAAGTGCCACATCGATGAGGGACCAAATCATTCAAGGCTTTATAAGAGATTGAACTACTTCTCACATTGCGAATTAATTTATGATGGAACCTTGCGACTAACTTTTAATTTAATCATTTTTATTACGCATATTAGAATATAATATTTGATTTTTTTCACAGGTTAGAATATAGGACAATCTATATTAAAATTTAAGGTTGAAAACTTAAATACAAGACCCCAGATAAAAAGCAAATGTTTTTAATCAACTGAATTATACGCATACAAGAACAATTTAGAATCTACATAATCGTGTTTGATTGCGGTAAAGGTAACATTCTAGTCACAGGCTAACGAACTCACTTTAACTACGTGGATTTTTCAAGATAAGTGCCGATTGTCCGGTGAAAGAGACTCATTGAGCCCTTTAACGGCGCCAAATTGCAGCAGCTGCACATGCAATTGTTTGGCTTATTGTCCTTTTTTCAAAACCCATTTGGCTTCTCTCCGATTCCCCTTTTTAATTTTTTGTTTTCTCATATATTTTTCCACTCAGAACCATTAAATAATAAAACCCAGATGAAAATAACACATAGAAACAGACAACGCATTTCAAAATCGAATCTGATATGCAAAAATTGCACAGCAATTTGTCTAAAATTTGAGACACTTTCGTAGATATCAAAATATACGTGTCGTAATATTTGATTTAATGAT